AATCTGATTCAGAAATGAGAGCCTTCAAAGAGAAAAGTGCAGAGGCAAGGCAGTGAAGAATACTCCAGATTTATGCCTTTCCAAAGTTTCTGTTACAATGATACATCTCTCACGCCTCCCTAGGTGACCAAGCAGAGATAGCTGAGGAATATAAAATAACTCTTGGCCAGCAGCCTCCTGTCAGTGCTTCATCCATGCCCAGGCTGCCCAGCTTGCTACCCTTGACCCACCAGTGTGCAATGGCCAAGCAGGCTACTGTCACTTCACTACATGATGGGAATGTCTATGTTCATGAGGACACCTCACAGAGCAGAAGCCACAACCTTCAATTGAATTAACATTCAATAATAATTAAAAATTCTTCCAAAATTCCGTGTTATATAAGAACTAAACTTTCAGAGAACTAGTGAATTCATAATGGGCTTGCCAGATGTCATGCAGGAAGATTCAAGGGTCCTGAAACATTTCCCTCAAAAAATTTTAAAGTATGGGAAAGAAATAACAGAATATTGTTTGTTCTAAAAGGTCCCCAGTGGGGGCTGCCCTATTATTTTCCTGTATGATGGGAGCAAAGCTCCCTTTGCACACAGCTGGCACAGAATATTTATCTCATTCTTACAAGAGACACAGATTTTAATAGCTCAGCAGTCCAGGCACTGGCAGCCCTGGGGGCTGATGGAATAAGCCTTGCACATGGAAACAATTATTTAGGAAGGGAAGGACTCCTGCATGCACGGAGCAACATCTCACTAAAACTGAAGCCTCCCACCAACACACATTCCAGATTCTTGCAGTAATTTGCTTTGGGGAGTATGCTTTAAGCTGCATCAGCTTTTGTACTTCTTTCTCCAATCTTAATTGCAATCACAAAACATACTCCCCTGCAAACTGACCCAACGGTCTGACCAAGCAGCAACAAATACCAGGAAATATTGCAAACATCTGAAGCTCAAACCAAGTTAGAGACCCAACTCTTCAAGCAACAAGTTCTGATTTCAGACAAGCTTTTCACTACACAACACACCTGGAAGGACTTACCCACCCAATCAATAACTCTGTAGTGGATGACTTACACCTAAAGTCTGTGGAATAAATAATGAATAAATCACACATGCTGTACTTGATATGTAGTTTATCAAACTGAAATGTTTTACATAGATCAAAATCATGAATCTTGGAAAGGAACAGAATTTCCAAAAGCACTAATTGATTAGAAATATCTAATTAAGGGTAGTCCTTTCAAGCCAGCTGCATAAAGAATATTTAATATATTATATGTTGCAGGAGAAAAGTAACCCCAGCAGGTTTCAATTAAGCCTCGTTGCCATATGGATTTTGCATCCACAGCAGGAAGGCTCAAACATCATGTCACAACTAAGATATTTTTATGTCTCCAACTGAAAGTATTTAAACTGCTTGGAATGGAAGCATATGGGCCATAACATCCCCAATTAAGAAAATATTTTGCTGAACTGGAGCCAAAAAGGCATATGAAGCTAAAATACACAATATCGTTGGTCAGGTATGGTAGTTTCTAACTTTTAAAGGATAGAAAATCTAGGAGTGTATTGCATGTATGCCTTAGTGACCTCCTTACCCAAAAGAGAAGATGCCAGTGCAAGTCCCACAGGGATTTTTAAGGAGGCCCTGAGGTGCTGCTCCTGGAGCACTTCACACCATCACAAACAGTGAGGGGCTCCTCAGGTCACCACCTCAGCCAACCTCCTGCTTAAAGCAGGGTCTAACAGCCAGAGCTGGGTTCTGAAAGCTTTGGCCAGCTGGGTCTTGTAAAGAACTGAAGTGCCAGCACCTCTTTGGGCTCCTATTTTAGCACTCCAGTCAGTGATATTTTCCTTAAGGCAAGCTGGACACTCACCCACTGCATTTTATAAAGCTTTGACAAGCAACACAACTCTCTATCCAACTCATCAAAGATGCTGTGAAGTGGGAAACAACAGTTACAGTTTTTTCCTTCTCATATTTAAAAAAAAACTACTTCAAAAATGTGTTTTGATAAACCCAAGAGCTCAGCTGCTGTTGCTGCTGCGCCCTCTTGGGATCTTGAGCCAAACATTCAGTGTTATTTTTCTTCATGCAGCTTGGACCCAAGAACCCTAATTCCTCTTTACTGGAAACAGATGTCAACCAAGTTAAATCATCCCATGACTCCTGCAGGAGAAGGATGTAAACAGGCACAGCTCACCCAGCTGTTACTCAGAGAGGTCCTGCTGACAAGTTAGGGATCCCCACACACTGCAAGACCTTAAAAATGCTTTTACTTAGTGATTTGAGATATGTTTATCACTTAAATCCACCAAAACACATTAGGTCACTTCAGTTTACACTAGATTAGAGTTTGGGTCTTTTCACCAACATCTTCCAGAGTTTTGAGCCCAGAGGAGAAAGAAATTGTTTTCTATGTTTTTGTACATACAATGCTTCCCAACAGAGTCTTAATGTTTAACAGACCCCACCCCTGCAACATGCCTGCAAAGTAAAGGCTTTACAAACAAGAAGGAGGGACAAAAAGAGAGATTAAATGATGTGTAAAAGGTCACAAAAGATGTACAGTAGTGTTCACACAGAAATGCATCCTCTACCTCCCAGGAGGCTTAACTTCAGTCAAAAGGAACTACCAAATTACAACTCTCACTAATGCTGTGTTCCAAAGTGTTCAATCCAGGTTTTGCTATCTTTTCAGCTGAGAAAAATACCTGCTTGCTGCAGCATGGAAGAGCTCTGGGACAGAGGCTGCTGGATGCATATGAGAAATGATGCACCAGGTGAACAGGAGACCCTCAGGTGAATTAAATCCAAAACTATTTGTGGTCAGCGTAAACAACCACATTGGCAGGAGCTCCACTACAGCATCCAAGGCTGCAAACTCTCTTGTTGATGCCCAGGAAGCAGCTTTTGAGCAAACAGCAAAAGGAAATTAAAGCACAAACTCACAGATGCTATTGAAGCACTTGCAGACTACAAGGCAGCTTCAAGGTCATGCTACATTCATGCTGAGAGCTCCAAATGCCCAGCAAAGACAGGCACAGGGACAGGCATTACAGCCAGATTCAGGGAAAGGAAATGTTTTAAGAAATGTGGATCACAATAAAAAGTCCACAGGGTTCAGACTGGGACCCCTGATCTGTACGTCTGTGTTCATTCTCCAGGCCAGGTTCACACACCACCAGTCTCTTGTAAGAGGCCACGGCAAACCAAAATGCTCTTTCTATACTGCTTTCAGCTAAATTCACACATAAAAGTCCTATTCTTAACTTCCAAATATTTATTTGTGCATTATTTTTCATAGCTCAAAGACAGGAAAACCAGGTTTAAACCACTAGTGCCATCAGCATAGCTGTGGTACTGGGGAACTCTGCAGGAACTAGGAGTCCTCAAAGTAGCTTTCTCAAGCAGGTTTTTGCAAGCTGGCACCAACCTCCCTGCTATTACAGTGACACTGCCAGGGACAGCCAGCCCAGCCAAGCTAAAGCTATTCTGAGTGTATTTACACAGACTAAAAACTACACAAAGCATACACTTTGGTAGCACCAGGCTTTAGAACATCACTGTGTAGTACAAGAAGCAATATTCTCCTAGACCTTTAGACTGTTTATTTACCCACCTCAGTTCATCTACTTCTTAGCAATGATGGTACCAATATAACATTTTTAACTTGAACTGTGGCATTCTGGCAACTATCTCAGGATAAGAGGGTTTCTTTTTGAGCAGAGATTAGCACAGTCTAAAAGACTCAAGCAGCCTAAATAAGTGAAGAGATAGGAGGTATAATTCCCCAGGGCTTAGATGCAATATTACAGGCATCCCCAACAATGCAGCTGCCAGATGAAGCCTTTCTTGCCAACACGTTTTTAGCCTATATAATGGAAAAGGTAAAGAGAAAAACCTTGACACTACCAGCAAACATCCTTCTCGCTGGCTCGGGGAAGACAGATTTAAAATATCAGTACAGCCGAGACAAAACCCCATTCCCCAAAGAGGCAGAAGCCAAATCCTGCGGGAACAGCGACAATTCATCCCTGCACAACCACGGCA